TAAGTCAGAGCCTAAGGGCTGTCTGGGCTGAAAGCGCTGCTTCCTGGGCTGTCACTGGAACCGGCCATCCCTCTGCTCCAGGCTTCCTGGTACATGTTTCAGCTCTATCCATTTTTGCCCAGATTGCTCCCGATTACACTAAGCTTCCTAGAAATGCTTTCCAGCAACTTCATCGTCTCTCTTGCCTTCTTTGGGGCAGGCTGGCAGTTCATGGGTGTGGATAGGCAAGTGCAGCATTGGTCCTTTTTTTCTGAAGACCAAGGGGAACATCCTCCGAAGCGTGTTGCAATTGCTGATAGAAACTGATATGATGTGATTCATTAACTGTAGATGGATTCCAAGAAGCTCTTTATACAAATTCGGGCCAAGGCAGGCGAGTCCCAAAGCCTTGCAGGTGTGTACTGGGAAAATAACCACACAGGTAGAGTGCGGGGGAGAAGAGCAGGGCTGAACTCTGCAGCAAGGAGGAACATACATCTCTGACACTCTACAGACATGCAAACGCTAATGCTAACGCGCAGCTTTTTTTAATCTATTATGAATTTGGCTGTGAGCTGATGCAATGAAAATGCTGGGAACCTGAAAGGTGTGGTCTAAAGGAGGAAGTATGGAGTCGCTTTGACATGCATATTCTCATCCTCTCCTGCTCATTGTTTGTCTGGTTGCTGGCACTGGGATGCATACCTCACTCCAGCTAACGCTCCCCTGTTTGGTGAGCCATGTTTTGGAGGTAATGTGTAGGCGTGTGTTGAAATGCTGCTGGGAGGGGTAAGCTGCATGTTACTAAATGGCAGCTTATCTAAACACACACAAACTGAAACAGTAATTTGCCTTACTTATCCAGTGTAAGGCTGGGCACTACTGTAGAAGAAAATAAATCGGTGCATCTTACTGCTGATTCTGTAGGATTGGTTACTGGGTACATGCTTATTCACCTAGGTTCACCTCCAGTCCAACAGCAGAAAATGGCCATCTGAAGATGAGAAAGTTGGAACAGACTTGTCAAAATAGTTCCTTGCAATTCTTTATGCATTGTCAGCAATGTAGCAGATTTCTCCTGCGGTTCAGGTTAAAGATGAGGGGACATATAAATTAAAGTAAGAAATAGCACCTAAGTCCCTGAATTTTATTTTATAACGCAGACAGAAACTATACATAAGTTAATCAGCTGCTGTTCTGAAATTCTCAAAGTTTGCTAGAGGGAGAAATCTTACTCTGCAAAGCATTTGACTAAACTAGATTCATCACTGTAAAGATTTACTTCCACTTATAATCTTCCCAATTTGCTAGGTGGAATTATAAAATAACCAGCTCCTCAGTTTTACTCCTGGTACAGCTGCAGAGACAACATGCCACAGAGAGAGGCTTTAGGGCTGTTGTTTTATTCATTACTATACAACGCCACCTACAAATTCCAGCCAGATTCAGAATTCAGCTTTGTAAATGCTTTTAAGGACATTCTGTGCCCTGAATTGTTTGCAGCATCTTAAACAATAAAAAAAAGTGTAGGGAAAAAAAGTTGAAAGTTAAGGAAGTGAAGTGGGAGACTAAAGAGGATAGACTCCACCTCTGCCAATCTTCAATTCCAAGAAGTGACATGACAGGTTTAAGAAAAGAGTAAGAACATTTAAATACAACTTTGGATTCTGAGTTCAGCGTAATTTCATGGTTGTGGCACTACAGAATCTCTGTTAGTGGCCTTGGAGGAGCTAAATCTCTGCAAGTAGTCCAGCCTGTGACAGCAAAGCTCCTCAGCTACACACAGATCTGCTCCTGTCCATACTGGATGTCTGACCAAGGCTGAACAGTACTGTAGACTCAAAGGAAGATTTAAATGGGGGGGGGACGGACCATGGAGATCTTTACACCTGCTCTGAGCACAGCTAGCACCAGAGCTAGATCAGGATGCTCATGCCCTTGTCAGGTTAACCTTTTGCAGGGCCTGTAGCTTAATTCTCAACGTGTGAACATCCTCAAGGAAGAAGACCTCCCGACCTCTCAGGACGCTGTGCCAGTGCTGGACCACCCTCTTGAGTAGGAGGGTTTTATTTCTTTATAGTCAATCAGAATGTTGTGAATGTTTCACTGAGAGTACTCTGGCTCGCTTGTCTGTGTAGCTCCCCCCAATAGCTAGCTAAAGTCATCAGTTAGATCGCTCTTTGGCCTCCTCTTTGCCAGGCTGAACAAACCTAACTTCCTCAGCCTCTCCATGCTCCTCTTGAGCTCATTATCATTTCTCCTATGAGGAACTGCAACAGTGGACACAGTATTCCAGATGTGGCTTCATGTGTGACAGACAAAGGTGAATGATCACTTCCCTTTACCAGCTGGCTACATACTTGCTATTGCAGCTCAGTATGTGGTTGGCTTCCTTGCCTCTTCCTGGCTCATGTTCATCTTGCTGTCCACTGGAAGCCCAGGGTCTTTTCTGGAGAGCTGCTCCCAACACTATTAGTCCCCAGAGTGGTCTGATGCATGGGGTAGTTTTGTCCCTAGGTGACTATGCCATATAGATAAAATATTACAGAAGACTATTGTGAAAGGTAGACTTCCTCTCTAAACAGTGTTCTGGGAAAAATCCTAAGGTACCATATTTATGTATCTCTGCCAAGCTCAGTTAAAGGAAAGCAGTTACATTTTATGGTCCAAAACTTTAACTTTGCTTCTCTCTTCTATCTATATAAGCTTACAGATCTCTCTAATGATTCCAGTGTAAGTGGCCAGGAATGAACCTAACAATGGGAATAAAAAGAAATCTGGCCTGAGTAATTTCAGTCCTATCCACCACTGAACAATGATTTCATCTGAGTCAATAAGAAATAATGGATCATCTGAACTGCTGAAACCTACACACAGTTCTACAGATGGCTTTGAAGTTTTTATATCTGCTTTGGTTTGCCTTTAAGTGTGAGCTTGGTTTAAGCTTACTTAAAGACCTCCTGATTTATTTCTATTTAAGAAGAGCAGCGATGCATCCTGATAATTAAATCATTGCCTTTTCAGGTACAAGACAGACCAGTGAACAATCAGCTCCTATCAACTGCTTCAGTGGAAGGAGCAAGAGCCCTCTAGGAGGGTGCCACAACACTGCCTTATGCTGAAGGTGCAATTGCATCCTGGTGCTTGATTTAGAGAAAAACTGCAGACTTCCTTTTCTTGGGAGGAATGGGACTGCCTGTCATTCATGCAAGGAGGGAAGAGGCATCAGGGAAGAGGAGAGACCTCTGGGTCACATTATATATAAGGAACTGGATCCTGCAGAAAAGAAGAGAGGATGATTATGAAATGCTGAAAGAAAACATTGCCTCTAAGGACACTCACAGCCAGAGGGACCCCAGCCTGGGCAAGAGGCAGAATCTCAGCCCAGTCTGAACTGCACACATCATCAGGAGGAAGAAGTCTCTCTCTCCTTATCTTCTAACGCAGAGACGGTATGTTCTCACTGAAGAGATCAGTTTCAAATGAAAAGAAGGGGACCTCTTTTTTCTTACCCACTCTTTAGCTTTGTTGTGTTTAGTAGAATCCTCCTGAAGTCTTGGTACTTGAAGTGAGGGGAGGCACAGCTGATTCCAGTCAGCAGTCATCATGTACCAACCCATCATCCCTGTTTTCTGTGAAGACTGACTACTTGCATGCAGTGTCAAGAAAGCTTTATAGACAGACTGTTTAGAAGAGCTATCTGGGAGGTTCTGCAGCAGCAAAAGGTGGATGTAGGAGTTAGCCATGGCTTTATAAACCCTGAAAACTGGGTCTAGAAGTAGTCCTTGTTGCTGTTGCAGGACCACTGCTCCCTCTGCACTCTCTAAAGAGCTCCTTCTCCATCACTGACTGTCCGGTTTCTTTTTGTCTTGAGCCTTACAGTAAAGTTTCTTCCTGAGTTTGTAATTTTGCTGATTTATGCTCTGAAGCACAGAGATTTAATTCCTAGTTTTGCACCTGAGGTGATATAATTGTGGATTGCATTATTCACCTGAGTCCCCAGATGTTTTGAATCCTGCTGAGATGCTGGATCACAAGGAAACCAGCACATTCTAGTGACTGGAGTAGCAAAAATAAAGGCAAAGGTGTATAGGCTTATCAGATTCACTTCCTCAACTTTATTGATTAATTCTTTCTGTACCTTTTTAAAGATGTCTTCTTTCCAGGAAAATCCATGTCTTCACTAACAATTTTTTCCATCAGCTTCCCATTTCCTCTATTCTTTTTTCTTGATGGCATTGGAATATTTAATGTGATTTTCCAGCTTCTTTCATACTTAAATATTGCTGGATTTTTTTCATATGATCAGAAGTCTTCAAGGTATTTCTGCTTTTATTCCTGTTTTACAGAAAGTGTAGAAAGAATTGGAATTATTCCTTATAGTGAATATTACATTACATGATGAACACATGAGCAATAAGCACTGTTCACCTGTGACCAGTATATGTAATTTATTATTATAAGGCTCATGTAATTTATTATTATAAGGCTCTCTACATCCTTGTCTTTTCTAGATTTTTACAACTTAAACAGCTTTGCATCACTTCACATTCCTAGGAACTTTTCATTCTTCCTGTGATGAGCAAGACCTCATTCTATCTAAGTCCAAGCTATTAGCTTTGTATTTCCTTTATTACAGAGCACATTGCCATGGACATCTTTGTTTTGACTTTGGAAGTTCGTTTACTTTAACTCTGGTGCCATAGGGCTCAGACAGGCATAAAGACATAAGCAGCCAAAATGCCAGCTCTAATTTTAGAATCCTCATGTCTAACCACTGACCCCTTCCATTTGAAACCCTGTTTCCAAATGAACCTTGAGGCAGATCCGTTGGAGGGGAGGGAGAAGGCAGGCAGTGAACACCTTGAATTCCCATTAACTGGTGTCAGACTGTAGAGCACAAACTCCAGCTCACTGTCTGGTTGTCCCTGTACATCTCTGGCACAGATGTACAGAACTGCAGTATTGGTGTGAATAGAGAACAAACAGGTCTGCCGAGGAGTGGAAGCACCAGAAAGAGCAGTAGCAGAATGTCTGCAAGACCTAAGTGTTGATGGTCATCAAGATCCTAACACATCCACACATCCATCTACAGCTTCTTTCGACACTCAGATTAGGAAGGAGCATCCAATTACGACTCTCAAAAGCAGGACAGGATGGAGTGCCTAATCAGTGTCAACTCCTAACGGGTACATAATGCATGTTCAAAGCCTGCACGTGATCACCAACCTAAGAACAACTCAGAAGACGTGATGAAGACACAACAGATGACATTCCTTGTCATCAGCGTCATGGTGAAGAATCCTAGGCAGATCATTTGGGCACAAGAACCTTGGTGGCTGTGAGAATATGGGTCTGAGAGTGTGTTAAATGAAGCTGAGTGAAATCAGTTTTGGTTTTAAATGAAATCACCTTCCTCCCCATACAGTGAGCTTTAACATTATTTCCTATGTGGAACTGATTGTCAGGCACTGGGTCAAATTCAACTGTCTCCCTTCTGTTTCTCTCCCTTTAGATGCCATGTGAAGGCTGCATGGAGAGGGACAATAAGAGCACTGATGCAACCATGGAGTTCCTCCTGCTCGGCTTCTCCGAGCTGCTCTGTCTGCGAGTCCTCCTCTTCCTTATCTTTCTCATTGTCCATTTGGTCACACTGGCAGGGAATCTGATGATCTTCATGGCAGTGGTTATGCAAACTTGCCGTCCTCCCATGCTTTCCTTCCTTTGCCTGCTCTCTGCCATCGAGCTCTGCTATACCTTAGTCATTGTCCCAAAGGCACTCCTCGGCCTGATGGTGGACGGCAGCACCATTTCTTTCATAGGCTGTGCTGCACAAATGCACCTTTTTGTGGCCCTCGGCGGGGCTGAATGCTTCCTCCTCGTAGCCATGTCGTACGACCGGTACGTTGCCATCTGCCAGCCACTTCACTACATGGCTTTCATGAGTGAGGGGTTCTGCCTCAGGCTGGCTGTGGCATGCTGTCTGGGAAGCTTTGCTATAGCCCTGGGGTTGACAGTGGCTGTTTTCCGCTTGCCTTTCTGTCGGTCTCATCGTATCAATCACTTCTTCTGCGATGTCCCTGCTGTGCTGCACCTCACCTGTACGCAGGGTTATTCCCCTGAGCTGCCCTTGCTGGCTGCCTGTGTGCTCCTTCTGCTGTTCCCCTTCCTCCTTATCCTGACCTCGTATGTTTGCATTGCTTCTGCTTTGTTACACATCACCTCCTCCATGGGAAGGGGCAAGGCCTTTTCCACTTGCATTACGCACTTGGCCATCACCTTGCTGCACTATGGATGTGCCACCTTCATGTACATTCGTCCTAAGTCCAGTTACTCACCAGCTCGAGACAAGATGGTGTCTCTGGTCTACACCAACATTACTCCATTACTGTATCCCCTCATTTATAGCCTGAGGAACAAGGAAATCAAGAGGGTCCTCAGGAAAATGTTCAGGAGGAAGAAAATAGCTCAGCTGAACTCTGATTCTATCAGAGCTGTTATATGCGTGTGTGGTAAATTTTAGTACAGCAAACGTGCTTGTTGGAAAATGGCCTCACAACCAAGTTAGGACCAGATCCTACAGCAAATATCCAGCCAGAATTCAACATCCATCAACACATGAATGACAAAAAGACACCTCTGCGAAATAAAACCACCCAGACCTAACAAACAGATAAAGGTCTCTAACACAGCACTTTACCTAAAAGGAAATGCTGCAATGACTTTTGAGGATGAAGAGCTTTGATCCATTTGTGGTCTCACTTCTGTGATCACAGACATGCTTACAGTCACCATCATCTCAGCAGAAAAGATCAACACAGAATTGTTTAAAGCTGCTGCATTGGTTTCATTATATTTCCGTCAAGATGAAAGTAGAAACTGGAAACTGGGAAGTAAATAAAAGAGTTTAGACTGGTAAGTTCATCAGAACAAAAAATCTCAAGGTGGTTATGGGAAGGTTGGAAGAAGAAAGCCCATACCTAGAAAGAAAAGGAAATTAAGCAGTGGTCTTCTCTGAATGTAGGAGAAGACTGCATTCCAGTGTCCCATCACTGGATCATTCATGTAAAATCATCTTACTCTGAGTTATTCTAGATAATGAAAATGAAAGTGTCATTGATTTGACAAGAATATGACTTTCCTATGCCGGTTTTGCAGGAAGCAATCTTTCGTTTTACATGTTTGAATTGTTCCTATGGCAACAGAAAGGCAAAGAAACTGGTCTTATCGGGTGACTTTTACCAGGAATGACTGTATCATATAAACAAGGATGCCTGAGAAGTGCTGAAATCCATTGTTGTAAGATTAATAATACCACTGTCACTGTTATTGTCATTTCTTTAACAAAACCAGTGAGTTACAGCACATGCTGGATGCAGCAGACACATGAGTCTGAAAGGTACAATACAGTGTTATTTTGTGTGTTTCCTACATGTAGGCAGAACAGGATGACTCAGATAAATTATGGAGGATCAGTTTCGGACAGGAACGGGGGGGGGGGGAAGAAGAAACTTCGTTATTTTATTCAATACTTCCCTCCTCCGTGTCTCTTTAAAACCCCAAACAGACCCTATGATCCAGAACCCACTCTTACACATCAAATTGTCAGGGAAAAGTAAAATAAATTAAAAGGCTTGCTTCTGTTTCTCTCTCTAATCCAAAGGAATTTCATCACCTCAGGTGCCCTCAGCTTTTTCCCTTGGCAGGCTGAGAGAGCAGAGTGATATTTGCTTTCTCTGGGATACAATCATTAAAAATTATGGTAAGTGGATTTGAATAATGTAAAAAATTGGCACTGTAGCTAAAGAAGTTAACTTGGAGCCATCAGACAAGAGAGAAAAGTGGAACTGAAAACTCACATTAAAACCTGTCTTCAAGTTGACAGTCTAGTCAGCCTAAAACACTAACACAGACTACTGGCTCTCATGTCAATGAATACCTAAGTACTGCTGTAAGCAAAGGTTTAGCTTCATTATTTAAAAGTATCAAAGTTGTAGTGAACATTTTAATCACCTGCCAGTTCTTCCAAAAATGAGAAGGGGAAAAGCACATTACTTACAAACAGAGAAGCAGTTCAGAAGTACATTAGAGAAGTACTTTGAATCAAATTCTATTAAGTAACTGTAATGACCATAGGACAAAACGGAAGCATCAATTCCAAATCCTATCAAGTCCACCAAGCCTTGAAGTTAATCCTGCTGAAAGCATTGGGCTCAAGTACAGACCTTTCTGAGATTAGTAGGATTCTGCATCAGAGGTTTCTAACCTGCCACTAGGAGGTATTGATATGCTCAAATCATAAATGGCAATAAAGGACAGAAAACACTGAGGTTTGTAATAGTGTCAAAACCTTGATAGAGGCCCTTGGGTTTCTGTAGCTGCTGTAGGAATGGGGTACCAAAGATATAATTGTCTGCTGCTAGCTATGAGAAGATAGCAGGGTTGTGTCCTTAAATAGAGATGCTCCTTCTGAACAACTGCACCTCAGCAGGTCTCTCCTCACTGCAAGAATATGGATGATGCCTTTGGGAAGGACGACATGACTGAAGCTGCAGCCAGGCTAGACTCCCAGCTCTTTAGCTCTGAGATACACGTGGGAAGCACAACAAGCAGTGAAGGCGTTCTGCAAAGACACTGTCTCCACCCAATGTCCTTGCAGATGAATAGAGTGAGGAGATATCCCAGAGCATCTCACTACCCTCACCAGTATTCCCACACCCATTCACAGCCCTTCTCTTGGCCCCTCTCTTATGCCCAGCTGTGTTGAGTGCAGGGCTTTGCTGTATAGATCTGTAGAGAGAACTCAGGGATGAGAGTGGGAAGAGGGGAGCTTATGAGGCAAGAGCAGCAACAATGTGTAGGAGACATCAGAACCGCTTTCTTTTTGAATGTTACCTTTCAATTGCCTGGAGCTGCCTGAGGTCCCTCTTCCACACACCCACCATCCACCTTTACAAGTGGCTGTTTCAGTGCTATTGACCCAGAACTGGGTTAGGGCTCAAGTGAAGTAAGACAGAAACATCCCTGCTGCATGAGCACAGGAAAAAAAATAAAGATAATCATAGAATCACAGAATAGTTAGGGTTGGAAAGGACCTTAAGATCATCCAGTTCCAACCCCCCTGCCATGGGCAGGGACACCTCACACTAAACCATGTCACCCAAGGCTCTGTCCAACCTGCCCTTGAACACCGCCAGTGATGGAGCATTCACAACTTCCCTGGGCAACCCATTCCAGTGCCTCACCACCCTCACAGCAAAGAACTTATTCCTTATATCTAACCTAAACTTCCGCTGTTTAAGTTTTAACCCGTTACCCCTTGTCCTATCACTACAGTCCCTAATGAAGAGTCCCTCCTCAGCATCCTTTTCAAAACTTCACAGAGAACAGCAGGATCCAGTCAGGCAGTGCAGAATTAGGCAAGCATATGTTCCATCTCCAGCCAAAGATGGATAGGGCATCACAACTGTTTGGGTTGGGTAGGGTTTCAAGACCACCCAGTATATGAGTACAGCTGGGCACCTGCATTCCATAAAATGGTCCTGTCCTTTCTCACAAGAATGCATACACCTCCAAATCTGCAGAGGCCTGACACTGGCAAACACAGGTTTTATGAAGTTTTCCAATGAAACTAGCTAAAACATCTCTAAGAATCCCTTCATGGTTTATACAGCTATAAAAAACAAGTATTCATCCTTCCAATTAATTTTGTCAAGGCTGCCCTGAACGAGGCACTGGATGAGAACACAGATCAGTGCTTTTCTCAGTGGTTTAGCACCAGTAAGGCTGTAAGATCACATAAAAACTAAGGAGAATTTGGAGGATGATGGCAGAGACATTGCATAACATTCAGGGTACTCAAGATCCACTATCTTGTATGGCACCATTCAAAGAGGTACCTTCACTCAAGGAGATACTTCAAGGTGGTATCTTGAGTGCTACCTACCAGTACCACTGATACTGGTAGGACACCAGTGAAATCTCCTTTTTAGTATAGAGAAACCAGTGAAAGCTCCTTTTTTTTGCACAGTCATGTTTTGCTGGCAATTCAGGTAAGAGATTCCCTAAAAATTGTTCCTATAAATAATCAGCCTCCTAAAGGACTTAAATGCACTTGTATTGTTTCTTTACTTTTCTAGGAGTCTAAATACACAAAGTTTACTAAGGGAATGTGTTTCTGTTATGGATTAGGAAAGTGGAAATTCTCCCAGAAGTCCAATTTTAAGAGCATGAAAGATGTTTCAGTGTACTGACTTCCCTGTCATATTATCACAGCCTATCCACCAGCCTCCCTTCTTCTTGATTCTTCAAAATCTCAGAAAACCTGCAGATAAACCTATATTTACACAAGTAGCTTCTTTTGTCCTTTGATCTGAAGCAGAAGGAAAGCATCAGGGTGAAATTAATACAGCAATTTACAGCAATGGAATTGTAGCCAGTGAAAACAGATGTGGGGAAAGGCTCAAACCTTTATTATCACGCAGGTGAAAAGCTGTCAAAGATGGGGATTTGCTTTAGTGAGAAAAGGTCTATTTTTTCCTCACGTTTATAATTCAACATGCCAAGGGCAACAGCAATATTGACTTTAAAATGACAAAAACTAGAATGGTATAGGATATTTATAGAGAGATTTACAGAAGAAGAGATGAGTCCTTCCTGAGATTGCTTTGTGCCATTATCTGAAATTACCTACCCAGCATATATAATCTGATAGGATCTATATGATATAAAAGAAGTCTGCACCCCCATAAACAGGCTAATGGGGAACAAATACGTTCAATATTCTGCCCTTCCCCTCCACAATAAAAAAAAAATCCTAAACTCTAAAAGCTTTGTATTTTCCAACTGGGTTGCTGTGCAGGCCTTAAAGTCCCTTTTAATGGAAGCAACCAGGAACATAGGACAAGAAATAACCTGGAGCCCAAAGCGGAGTTGAGGCATGAGGTGAAGCTCCATGCCAGCTGGTTGGTTTCAGAGTCAGTTTTACACTGTCCTGCAATCAGCTCCACATCAAAAAGCTGACTGAAGGTGCTATAATTCCAGCATTGTACTGTAACCCAAAGCTCCTAGCTCTGAAGATCCTCTGTGTTGAGTTGTCTTCCAAAGTCCATGAAAAAGGGAGGATGGAAGTCAATACCCATCCAGTGTGTACCTTTAGCTTGACCTGCATAAATGCAAAGATATGAGACGGTCTGGTTTTACAAATTGGCATGTAAAGCTGAGGGAAGACCAGATGGCTCAGCTGCATATGGCCTCTAGCCTAGCCACTGCTGAAAATCAGGTCTCTTAGAATCTGTGCCATGTTTTATGGTGGTTGCTGTCAGCATTCATTTTAGTTTTCATGTTTGATTTAACGAAGAGTTCAAGTTTCAACAATCAAATGGGTAGCTGAGCTGGAAATAGACTTGATGGAGAGTTGGGAAAATGCTACCACAATCAATGCCCTCTTTCCACCTGCAAGACAGCACGGTGTCTCTTTCAAATGTCTTCTCTTGATGTCAACACTGAAACCACTCCAGATGA